TTGCTCTCTATTGTAGTCAGCTGATTTGTCATTTAATTTTCCGTCTCTGTGTAGCTATGTACCTGTGATATAAGTGTTTGTAATGTGACCCATATCCATTCTGCTATATGTGTTCATGTCCTGTTGTTCCCTTTGTGTTACTGTTTTAGTTTCTCATGCAAATAAAAATAATACCAAAAAGACGGAGAGTATAATCTGAACCTCCCTTTGCTTCTTTTCATTTACTTTGTCTGTTGATTTTCTGGAACTGTCTTAGATAGCTTAGGTTTATTTTCCCTGTAATCGTCACTTAAATTGTCTAGCCTAGCTTTAGCCAAGCATCATCGCTGATCATTTAGTTCCTGTGGAGAACACGACATCCGTAGTTTGGGCAAATATTCCACTACATTTACAATCGATCAATCAGACATAACATGCCTTCACATTGTGTCATTGTGATAGATAGATAACGTCGTTTGATACATGAATGATCTTGAATGCCAAAAATTGATCAAATACTAATCATATCGAGAATTCAATATCTGAATGTATGCCTCCAACCACGCCCTATACATATTGCAATTGTGACAATTTCTTTTTCTGAACAAACGGATAATGCTCCTCGTGAATTTTTTTTCCCGGAGAAAAAATGTGAGAAGGAAGTTTGGCGGTCGGTGTCCATTTGGACGGCCACGCTGCTCGATCGGTGCTAGCCCCGGATGGATAGGCAACGGAGGATAAACAGGAGGCTATCTGAATCCCGGCGGTTGATCGTGCCATTAGAAGCATTCCGTCAAGTGCAAACAAAACAAAAATACCTTGCCTCACATTTTCTTTTCTTTTCACTTTCTTTGCTTTCCTTCTTGTCAGTTGTCACTTTGTTCATCTCGCTGTACGGCCTCATTCGGTTTGAAGGATTTTCATAGAAAAAAATGTAGGAACAAGAATTTCGGAGGAAAATTTCCTAGATATGCATTCGATTCGTAGGATATGCGTACAAGAATTTTATAGGAATACTACTCATTTTCTGTATTTTTGGAGAAAACTACACATCCAGTCAAAGTTCATTTTGCGCGTAGGAATAAAGCAAGTCAATTCCTTAGGATGGCAAATATCATTCTATCAAATTCCTATACTACTCATAATTCATACGTTTTGATTTCCTCCAAACCGAGTGATCTCTACATATTCTCCCAGCATACAAATAGAGAAGGCAAGCATTTGCTGGGTGGTTCAAAGAATACTATGATGCCACCTTTACCAAAAAAGTGTTTCCCCTGCTTTGTATTTCAAAGCAATCAACACCGAGTATAAAGATCACTGTGGTGAGCAGCATAACAAGCCAAAAGAAAAAGAAGAAGAAACAAATGCCAACCACGGCAGCTTGGCAAAGCGCGGATGACCCGCCACCGCGGCGCCAACCGATACAAAACACCACAAGCCGAGGCTCCGAACCACCGCGTACCAAGCAGCACCTCCAAGAAGGGATGTGACGCCTGCTGCCTGGACGAGTCCTAAGGTTTCCCCCGACACGTGGAGGGAGGTGGGGGATGGATACCACCGACGCCCTTCAAGAAGGAATGATGGCACCCGCAGGTGTCACCGCATCGGGGCCGAAGCCGGCAGGGATTTCTCCCGCACTCCAAACCCAACCGCCCAACCAGGCGGAGCCGACCTGCCAAACCGTCGCCCACCACCATGCGCCAATGCAGATGCGCCCCCACCCATGCCGCCTCACTACGAACACCACCACGATGTCAGAAGGACCGGAGAGAAGCGCACCACGAAGGGAGCAGCAACACCGAAGCCAAGCGGGAGGGAACCACCTCCACCGCCGTCGTGCAGGAGGCCCGTGCCTCCGGCACCGTCGCGGTCGCTGTCCAGACACGGCAGCGGGGCATGCCAGGCCACCCCTGGCCCAGCCGGGCCCGAAGCGGGCCTGTTAAGCCCCGCCGCCCATGATGCAGCAGGCCGGCGTCGGCGCCGCCAGCACCCAGCCGCTCGTCGCGTCTCCCCCGCCTCCCGAAAGCCACGCCGGAGACCATCCCCGCCGCCGGCCCGCCCAGGCCCAGATGGGGCCTGATCACGCCGCCCAGCCGCTCGCCTGTGTCGCGCCACGGGACCCCGCCGCCACGCCAGACCGCCGCCGCCTAAGTGCACCCCCGGAGCAGCTCCGCCCGCGCCGAATCGCGACCGGGAAGGGAAGGGCAGGGAGGCCGCCGCCACCAGCAATCCCGGGGCCAAGTCGGCCGCGGGCGCCGGCGCCGGCGGCAGGAAGGAAGAAGGGAGGGAGGGCCTGGAGGGAGGAAGGGGGCCTGCACGGCCGGTCGCCCGCGGGGGCGACACGGTCGCGAGAGGAGGATCGGGCCTCCTACCTTATCTTCAGGAGAGATCGTGGCCCTGATGCCACCTTTCACCACAAACCAAGAATCCAAGATGGAGAAGAGCGTGAGGTCCGGCCGGTCATGGCAGCAGCAGCCGGTGGGGGTGGGCCGGCCGTGTCAGTGGCAGCGAAGGCAAGCCCGTGGCGTCGCTCCGGTCAATCGACTCCGCCGCGTCCAGCTGCTCGTCTCTCTCTCGGTCGACACGTACTACACGCTAGTGCCTAGAGATGGCTCGGCTGGTTCCCGTTTCCGGCAAAAGCATCCACCAGGGACGCGCACCGTCGAGCCCAGCATCGACGCAAAAATGGCAAAAGGCCAGGCGAGGTACGATGCGGCCACCGGCCACCATTACGTCTCCATCGGCGATGCGACCTCTAATGGCCGCCCACAGCTAGCTACTTCTACTAGGTAGTAGTAGTAGGAGAGTAGCGAGGAGTACGTGCTTGCTTGCTTTCGTGGAAATGGACTCATGCACGCAGCTGATCGTCTCAACTGAAAGCAAAGTGTGAAACGCGCGGCCAAGGTCTGTTCCTCAAGGTGTAAATCTCAAAGCACCTCTATTCCGGTGCAAGAAACGAACCGATGCCGCCCATGGTCTGAACTGAAACCAAACTGTTAAAGTGAAACGCTGGTGAACTCTCCAGATCCAGAACATGCATGCATGTCTAAAACAACTTTCCTCGTGTGTTACCAATATGAATTTAACGGATGCTCCTCGCAAAAAAAAAGGAAAAAAAGAAGAAGAATTAACGGATGCATGCTCTGGAGAGTACTCCACGTGTCCACCATACCACAGAATGAAAAACATGCGGACGCATGCCACCTTCCATTGTTACAACTAAGGTCGTCCTCGTCCAATTATACATTTTTCTCTGTGTATAGGAGTTGAAGATAACATGTACCAACTTTCCCCTCAAAAGAAAAAAACGTGTACGAACTCTCATTCTAACGGCAAACACAGCACATTGTACTCTAAACCATGTTTACCAACCATTTTAGACATTAACGGTAGAAAACAAGTGTGGAGAGACCCACTGCTCCTACGGGTCGCCGGGTAAAACCCTAGTGGCCGCCCCGTCTTCTTCCATTTCCCCGCACCTCACCACCATCGGAAGAAGCCGGCGGGCAAAGCCTGCCTGGCGGGTGGCGGCGAGCTCTCCTTGAGCTAAAGGAATTCTCGTGGATGGAGTTTGCAGCATTTGTGGACGCCGCACGCACCCGCGTAGGTCGGATGCCGGATTGACGGCCTCGGGACATCTCATAAGTGGCCATGTTGCAACGGCTATGAGTGCAGGGGGTGGCCGGTCACAGCGTCAACGGCGGCGCCTGTAATGTGCCGGGGAGGCTTTCCAAGCCCTCATTTGTTGCAATGCGAATTTTTCTAATTCCCTTTCACGGTGGCGGCGGTACATCTTCTTAGTCCTTGTATGGGGGGAGATTTATGGAATGATGTGGTTGTTCGCGCGATGCGAAGCATCCTATGTCCATCCTCATGGACCTACCTTCACCTCCCCAAGTGCCACGTCGAACGATGACACAAGCACGCGCAAGAGCTATTGGAGATCGATGTGACATCTCTCCTTGATGAGCTTCCATATGATCCACATGAGACATAGCTACTGCCTCAATCCGGAATGCTATGCGTGCTTAGGTATGAAGAAGACCACCTCGGGGATGCTCGGAAAGAAGATCAAGTCCCCAAATACATGGACAAAGAAGATCGACGAAGGAGACCACAAAAAGGCTACAATAGCCGGACATCCGCCCCTAGTCCGGACAACCGACCCCTGATGGATACAACAACAACAACAACAGCAAGTTCAATGATGATGAGCTACAGGAGCCGAACATCCGGCCCAACAGCCCCGGACATCCGGCAGGCCCCCGAATATCCGGCCCGAGGAGTACAATACTCAATCCTATCAATTGATCCATTAGAAGTAGAGATATCATTTCGTAAAGGTTGAGAAATTTCTCACCAAGAGGGTATCTCCACGCGGTTTGGCCCCTTGTTACTTTCGCCGTCTGAGTGTGCGCTCGACCTGTGCGCTCGACCTCTCTTGCCTCCTGTCGTCGACTTCTTTCCCCAACACCACCACCACCACCACCATCAGTCCATCACCACCTTGTTCGATCGATGGACTGGGTAGCAGAGCAGCAGGATCTGGGTGGCCTCGGGCCTGCCGGCATCTGCCGCGAGGTCACCCGAGTCCTCTGCGCCACCATCTTCAATTCCTCCTGCTTAGGTCCCATGCTGCTCTCCCTCATCTTGCCCTGCGCCAATGACGTCCTTAGCTCCCGCGTCGACTCCAACCAAGACAGCCTCCTCCGCCTCGCCGCGTACTGGGCCGCCTTACTTCTCTTCAAGCTCCTCTACTTTGGTCTCTGCTACGTGTTCACGCTCTTCTGCACCTGCGCCTACGTGTTCCTAGTCGCCTCTCTCTATTGCACCGGCGGCGATTTCGCCGCCGCCAATCACGGCCGCCACGCCCTCCCAGTCGACCCGTCCAGGCGGCTTAATCGCACCTTCTTCTTCCTCGCAATCCCTCTACTGATCACATTCTACGCCGGCGCCAAGCCTGGATCGCGCTCCAGCAGCTGGACGCTCCGGGCGTGGTCACCCTGCCGCTGCAGCTCATGGGCGGGGCCGCGTGCCTTGCCGGCGCCGCGTACGCCGCCGTCGTCTGCCAGCTGGCCTGCGTGGTCTCCCTCCTCGAGGACGCCTGGCTTCTCACCGCCATACGCAGGAGCCGCGCGCTCCTCGCCGGCAAGTTCTGGCCGGCGGCGGCCATCTTCCTCACGCTCGACGCCTGCATCGTGGCTCTGCTAATGGCCTACACGGTTCTGGTGGTGGCGGTGCGCGACGCGCTGGGGCTGCGTCTCGCTTTCCTGCTGGCTGCGGGAGTTGGGATGACAGTCGCTCTGTGGGCGGTGCTCGTCGTCACGCTGGTGGCGCAGCCGGTGGTGTACCTCGTCTGCAAGAACCACCACCACGAGGTCGTTGACAACGTCCACCTCAACTACGTCGGAGAGTACGAGCGGCTCGCCGTCGACGGCGACAATGGCGTGGAGCTGCAGCCGGCGCCGCAGGTCACTACAACTGCCTAGTCCATCCAGTTCAGTGAGTCCCCGGCCCCCAGACCCCAGCCGGCAGTACTACTACTCTATTCATTCTTGGATTTGAGAGACAATTAAAAGTACTACTCCTATGTTTTGAGACAATTAGTAAGTGCGTTAGCTACCTTCATCACAGTTTGAATGTATTAGTCGTATGATGACTACATCTCATCCGATTTTGGCACATCATGTGTGTTTGGTTCTTGTATATATTTGTGTGACGCTGTGAGCTAGTATAATTGTTGAGCTTATTAACTTTAGTAGCACTCTCTTTTATTTACTCTGTGTATTAGCTTCGATTGGCGTTAAATTTTACTATAAGGTTTGATCAAGTTTGTAGAAATTGATATAAACATTTATAATAAGAAATCATTATGATGTGAAAATATACTCAATAATGAATCTATAGTATTGATTTGGTGGTGTATGTGCTAATACATTTTTCGACAAACCTGGTGAAAAATTATAAATTTGACTAGACAAAGCTAACTAATTACTCGGCTAGTATAACCGTATGTAGTTCATATTGAAATCTTTGAAAAAACTTACATTTAGGAATGAAGGGAGTATGTATATGCGAAAAAACGGAGGGATACATGCATTTGACCCATTTGTCACATTTTCGTTTGTACGTGAAATTTTATACATGAGTAGAATACTCGGCTAGTTTTGGAATTGCCGGTTATTTTTAATATTCTTTAAAATTCGTCTGTGGATCCGAAAGAAAAATAAAATTCTGTGTCCATGGCTAAACGGCATGGACGTCGTTCGGCGGTGACACGAAACATAAGCGCCCGCTAGTTGTCCGGTCCGATACTTGCGTGTCGACGCCTCCTCGATCATCAACCGCTTTGGTGGCCATGGTGGCGTATCCAAAGAATAATATGCTCCTACCGCTAGCAGTTGACGCGTGCAGTAAAGTAGTAAAACGATGAGAAGATGAAAAGCGTGTTGTGCTGGTACAGAAACTAGCTCGACCAGTCTAGTGCTGGAAAAAGTCCATTTTGAACCTTGAATTTGTAAGGGTTCGGCGAAACGAATTCTAAGTCGAAATTCCGGTCAATTGCACCCTGAACTATGCAATCCCGGTCTAAATTAAACCCTAGCAAAAGTCAACCGGGATTTGTCTAGCTATTGGACGAAGGAGCGGCATGTTGACCACTGTGTGTGCGCCGGTCCTTCGCGCTGGGTCAGCCCATTTGTTTTTCTATTTGCTAAAAAAAGTGTCTTTATTTTTCTGTCGCACGCACAGGCGTAAAACGTTAACTCAGTATTTGCAACAACAAATGCGCTGGTACAACTAGCTGAGCGAGCGACCGAATGCGTTCATATGGCAACACAAAACAATAAGGGCCTGCTCGGTTCAAGGGAAAGGAAAGTGTAGGAGCGAGAAAGGGAAGGAGGTACAAAACATCGGAAAGAAAATTGATGTACGTGCATGCAGAGTTACCCTTCGGAACAAAGGAAGGGAATCACACGAAATCAGCTGACGTGCGTTCCAAAGAGTGATGTTTAAATGCAAAAAGAGGAGGAAAGTGGGGCCAAACTGTGCACAGAACAACCACACATGTGTGCACATGAAAGTTTTCTAAAATTCACAAACAATTTTGAAACGGAAACATTTTTCAAACTCTTGATTTTTTATTGAAAACACAAACATTTATAGAATTTTATGAAATATAGGAATATTTTTTGAAACTCCAGAACAAAATTAGAACACACAAACATTTTTTAAATCTGTGAAGAATTTTTGAAACGGAACCAAAATTTAAAATCACAAACATTTCTTTAAAAATTTGTCAATAATATGGGACAAAAACATTCTTAACAATATTTTAATCTGGTTCATGAACAACTTTATATTATTTTGAAAATCTGGTTCACGATTCTTATTTGTGCGCTTATTTTTTGCAAATATGCAACTTCACAAATTAATGAAAAAATGAAAGAGGTGCGTGGAAAATTATTCGAACTCGCGGCAAATATATGATATTATTTTTGAAAAAAATATGAATAGATGAACCTTTTTGTAGTATATGCTGAACAATTTCCGAATAAGTATTCAACAATTGTGCGTTATACCAGTTTTTATTTTTGAAATTCTAGTTCACAAGTTTCTTTTTTTCGTTTGTCATTTCCTACTAAGATGGCCACTGGTTTTTCCGATCAAACAGCACCAGCAGGCTGGGCGCGAACTTTTTTGTTTTTAACGAAAAAAATTATACGGGACAGCCTAGCAGGGAGCAGGGTGTAGCGCCCTTGGTGAATTTTTGTTTCTTAACGAAAAAAAATTAAAGCGGGCCGGCCCAGGAGGGAGCTGGTGTGCACCCTCTGTGAAATGTTCCAATCCCGGCCATCCAAATGACCCGAAGGTTCGATTTAGACCGGGATTGCATAGTTCAGGGTGCAACCGACCGGGATTTCGACTTGAGGGTTCGTTTCGCCGAACCCACACGAATTCAGGGTTTAAAATGGACTTTTTCCGTCTAGTGCTAGTACTTGCGCGCGCATAGGTGCAACCCAGGCCACATATCTAAAATTACACTAGAGCGAACATATAGGTTATACGGAAATATGCATGCATGCTCCTGTAGAAAAAGGTGGGGTCAACAACCAGTTTAGCTAGATTTCAGTCGATTGAATTTTGAGTATGGGTCAGTCGATTTTCAAATCATGGAAGAAGAAGGAAGGAGAAGGAAGGGCCTCGCCAGAGAGAAAGAATGGTCTCACCGTCATCACCCCATTATCTATCTTAGGGTTCAGTGTAGGGGCGGTGGCCGAAGAAAAAGCTCGGTGTGAGGGAGGGGGGAGGGGGCGCCTAGAGGGATGGCCGGGGCGGCGGAAGACCGGCGGTGGGGGTGGTTTAGGGGAGGGCAGGGCGGTGGAGCCCCGCGATTAGGGCTAGACTGGATCGGCGGGTGCGCGAGAGGAAGAAGAGGCAGGAGGTTGAAGACGAATCGACTGACCTTTTTTAAATTTCAGTCAACTTTATGAAGCGCACATTGCTAGTTGGTCACTGATGCTACGTAGAGTACTCCTTTCTTTTTCCCTACTATACTACACCAACCTACACTGATCATTAATTGCGGCCTGTTTAATTAGACCGAGACGAGGGATTCTCCATTCCAGTGCTCCTTTTTGTTGGAAAATGTAACGTGGACGAATAACATTTACGTGGATAGGTGATTGATGCTCGCGGAAGTGTGGATGTGATTCATGGTGGTGTATGCGTTTCGTAAGAATCGAAGATGCATGTTACGATCGAGCTGTCTCCACACCATGTTTCCATTCCGGAGCAAACCTTTATTTATGGTGCGCGTCGCAGAGGCAAGCTTTATGGTGCCATGTGGCCATGAGCCCATGCCATTCTATTCCGGTGCATGCAGCAGCGGTGCAACAGAGGCTCTGAGACGATAGACTAGCTAGATGAGGAAACCACTGGGAGCGCCTTGTGCTTCTTTCCGGCCCTTGTGCTCGCGTGGCCACCTAGTTGCATGTTTTCATTAAATCCCCCGGAAAAAAACATAGATGCATAGTACGTTATGAAAATCGATTTGCCATTATTAAGGACAACTTCACTGCGCGACCCTATTATGTCCGGCCCCGTCCGTTTGGGGTAAAAGAGACAAAAGAGGCGGCCCAGCGCGCGACCTCAAACGGACAAATGTCCGGATTCCGTCCGTTTTCGATCCATCCCCGGCCCAAACTTACGCTCGGTTTGGGGTGAAACGGACGCGCGCGGACGGCCGCGACGCACGCCCTTGTCCCCCCCCCCCCGTGGCCCGCCTGTCGGGGACACTAGCAGTCCCTCCGCTCTCAACGCTTCACCCTCTCTCCCCGCCC